AATCTCCCACGTTCAAAGGCTGTTAAATCGCATTGTTTACCCATATCTTCAGAAAAAAATCACTTCTGCTGTCGTGGTAAACAACCTGCTTTCCTATTTGTAATGGTCTGGCCCTCTAGCAACTTCAGTGCTAAATTGTAGCTAATTTGCCTACAAACGTCAGGTGGTCATAATAATCTGGCCACTCAGTATATATATGTAGATTTAATTTGTCCAATATTTTTATGGATCCAGATTCTATAATTTTGCAGCAAATTATTTTTCCTTAAAGCTAATATTTTATGGTAATTTTACTAGGAAATTGGCATAAATAGGAAATTTAAAAATTTTTTTGATATACCTAGTGATTCAGTACTTACCTTTTATTTAGTGCTGTTCTAGGAACTGAAGGTGCTACAAAGGTGCTAGAAAATGTGAAACTTGTCCTCCAAGAACTTACCATCAAATTAATGACTTCCAGTGTAACTGTTCTGCATGACTCCCTTGTGAGATGACTGTAGTGGGCACCTCAGAACTGTTTTCTTCCAAAGTGGTTGCTGAAGTGAAGCAGTAGCAAAATTAATTTCTGCAACAGATTTTCATAAGCCAGCTATTTGGTTCATTAAAATAAAATTTCCATATTTTTCTTTCATTTCCTTCAGTTACCTCATAAACATTGCTTAAGGGCATGAGCAAAAAGAAAATTAGCATTCTTTATCACCTCCTGCATTAAAGCTTGCATAGAACTCACCTTATACATAGTTCATCAAAATAAGCACTTGTGATCCGATAAAAGCAGGGTCCATCTACTTTTCAATTTTGTAATCAATAATTCAATAAAGTATTAAAATAATAGTTTTGATTTTCATTGCATTTCCCCATTTGTGGCACATGAACCATATATAACGGTGCTTTCTTCTGAATAAATTTCTCTAATTTTAATAGCAAGTCAGGCTTCAGAATTTGGCAAAGTTGCAGAATACAAAATCAACACCCAGAAATCAATGGCATTTTTACACACCAATAATGAAATGTAAGAAAGGGAAACTAAGAAAACAACTCCATTTACTACTGCAACAACAACAAAAATGGTACCTAGGAATAAATTTAACCAAGTAGATAAAAGACCTGTACTCAGAGAACTATATGACATTGAGGAAAGAAATTAAGGAAGATACAAATAAATGGTGTTTAATGGATTGTTTTCTAGATTAAAAATCATATGCATTATATACAAAATTAGTGCAAAATAAGCCTTGAGTTGATTATCTTATTTTAAGTAGTATCTTAACAGTAGAAAAAGATCTGCAGTGGCTTTATAGTAACAAAAAAATAAAACTAATGACCCAAATGATAAGAATTTGTCAGTGATTAGCTAATTTAGCATTTCTCAAATTGATGTTCCTCAAACATTATTTTATGGGAACTCAAGGAGTATAAATACCTTTAAAAAGACAAGAAAATAGAAGAAAAGTATTCCATAGTAAAATATGTTTTTAAACATTATAGGACTTTTCTGAATTGTTGCAAAGTTAATATATGTGGAAAAGCTAGGATGGTAAAGAAAGCATTTGACTACAGCACCCCCATCTCTCTTAAAGCAAATATTATCAAGTACTAAGGCAGGATAGACAAACTTGTTCTGTAAAGGGCCAGGTATATTTGGCAGACCATATGGTCTTTTCCACAAATATTTAACGCTGTTGTAGCACAAAAGCAGCCATAGACCACACGTAAAAGAACTGGCATCACTATGTTTGAACAAAACGTTATGGACAACAAAATCTGAATTTCTTATCATTTTCATATGTCACAAAAGTATTATTAATATTTTATTTTTTTTCAACCATTAAAGAACACATTTTAGGTCACAAGCCTTACAAAAACAGGTGGTGGGAAAAATTTGGCACATGGGCTGTCATTTGTTGACCCCTGATCTAGAGGAAAGAGGAACTATGTTGTGCAAACCCTGATTATGCCCCTCAGAAAGACACATTCCTTGCTGGAAAAGGCAACTTCCTTAGCTCTAGCCAATCTGGATAAAGTCCTCCATGATATTACCCAACTTCCTTCTTCCCCCCTCTTCCTGGCTTCTTTGTTAAGCAATAGTGGAGTGACAATGGGTTAAACTTCAGATGTGGATATGTGCTTTCCAGGGTACCTGCAAAGACCTAGGTTTCCATCATTCATGGAATGGTGCACTAGTCAGGATTTATTTACTTTAAAAATCTTTATTGTTGAAAGTATTACATACATTCCCCTTGCTCCCCCCAATGACCTCTTCTAGCCTGCCCCCACCCCCCGCCCCAAGCCTGTACCAACCTATTGTCAGTGACCATGGGTTATGCATATATGCATACAAGTTCTTTGGTTGATCGCTTCCCACTCACCCACTCTTCCCAACCTTCCCTTTGAGATTCAACAGTTCATTCCGTGCTTCTATGTCTCTGGATCTATTTTTCTCATCAGTTTATTTTATTCTTTAGATTCCACATATGAGTGAGATCATGTGATATTTATCTTTCTCTGACTGGCTTATTTTGCTGAGCATAATACTCTCTAGGTCCATCCATGCTGTTGCAAATGGTAAGAATTCTTTTTTTTATACAGCTGCATAGTATTCTGTTATGTAAATGTACCACAGCTTTTTTATCCACTCATCTGCTGATGGGCACTTGGGCAACTTCCTTCTTTCCCTGTTTTTGTCAAGGGAAAGTGAAGTGACAGTGAGGTAAACTCAGGTTTCTTTCTAAAACCTGAAAAAAAATCCCCATTTCCCAGTGTTTTTTCACATGGTCTTAGAGTCAGAGAAATCTGGATTCATACACAGCTTCTACCACATACAAGGTATAAGGCCTTAAATAAATTACCAATCTGAGCCTCTGTTCTCATTTCTAAAAAGCAGTACCTACCATATAAGGTTGTGGTGAGAATTAAATAAGCATTTAGCACAGTGCCTGGCACCCCACAGTAAGTGTACAATAGGCAGTCATCCCTTTTCTTACTTTCTATTTATGCATATGTTTTGTTTACCAATGACTACATTCACAAATAGATGTATAGATATTTATTTATACAAACCAGGTATTTATACAAGAGCATCTGTGGTATGTGTGTGTGTGTTTGAGAGAGAGAGAGAGAGAGAGAGAGAGAGAGAGAGAGAGAGAGAGACTCTGTAAGTTTTCATTGAGTATAAGCAATGTAACAGATTTAAGAAGTCTCAACTTAATGGGGAATAACATGAAATGTTTTGGATTTTTTCAATCACTGCTTTTAATTTTCTATTCCCATTCATAAATGCTGCCTTACGTAGATCCCACAATATTTTGGTCCCATTCAGCCTGGAAGGGTTTATAATTTCAATCTCTAACTCAATTCAAATCTACTTTTATCTCTTCTCTTTGCCAGACCAGGTTATATCTTCAGTTTGAAGTCATACACCCCCAAAGGTGTAAAGGAGAGGGAATAGTCTCCTGTTTTAACCCACCCTCCACCCTACCTTTATTTCGGAACACTACCTCTTAATTTGTTTCCTGATTCTAGCTCCTCTAGGGTGAAAAGTACAAAGAGGGACCAGTAAGCCACGAGTTATCTGTAGGTGCATGAGAATCTTCTTCATTGTGCTCTGGTTTGGTCTACTTTCATCAAAGGTGGACTAACCGTGTTGTTGTTGTCTTCCCAGTTTCTTTTGGCTATTCTTCAGGCTTATATCCAAGCTCCTTGGTAATGTAGAATCGCCTTAGAGAGGGATATTTATCTTTCATCTCTGTTAGATTCTACTGCCAGCAGTACATCTACCAACCCTCTCTCCAGGTAAGGCATCATTTGAGTAACCCAACAGTTCCTTCTTCACCTCTGTATGGCATGTTCTTTTACCTGAAGCTATGAGAACTGCTGAGGACCTCTCCAATGAAGTCTCAGCACTCCACATCTGCGCCCCCCTTTTCTGTCCTATTTTTCTGGAGTCTTTTCTTACCTGACTGGTATTAGTTACTATTCTATCAATTCTTTCACCTTCCAATATTTCAAGACAACAACTGGACACTAGTTTTTATGTTCATGTTCATCCCCAATGCTTGAGCATTACTGTAAAGCTCTATTAAGAAGTCACTTCAAGGGGAGGGTGGGAGTAAGAGGGAGAGATCAACCAAAGGACTTATATGCTAGCATATAGGTCTAACCAATGGACACAGACAACAGGGGGGTGAGGGCATGAGTGGGGGGTATGGGGGGTAATGTGGGGATAAGGACACATATGTAATAACTTAATCAATAAAAATATTTTAAAAAAACATCATCTCATTTGTTTGGCAGCACCAGATGGCCCTAGGATTCTGCAGCTCAGCAAAACTCCCTTTGGTGTTCTTCCACAGTGCAGACAGAAACCCAAGCCCAATCCCAGTGTGTTTGGGAAGGATCTGAAGACCTTCTGGCTCACTTTTTTCTGACTGGCCGTGGAAGAGGTGCAGCCCGAAACTGCCTTGTGTACAATGAGCACTTCTAGATGGGGAAGGACAAGGTCAAGGGCTAACAACCTCCTTGTATGCATCCACATTTTATTCTCATATTTTGTGATTATGCAATCTGTCTCCATAGAGCATATTATGAGAGGCAGCCACTTAGGTTTAGGCCTCTCAAGAGCACAAGGGAGTTTAGAGATGTGCTGAGTTGTTGATTTACTATGGATGTAGATATTATCATATATAGGGTGTCCCAAAAGTGTATACACACTTTGAATAATTATAAAGGCAGTGCTTATTAAAATACTTTCAGTGTGTATACATTATTTTGGGGCGGGGGGGCACCTTGTATAATAGCCATAGCCAACAGCAGTGTCAGACACTGATTATCTTATTTAACCATCACAATAACCCTATGAAAGAGGTACTATTTTTTACTCCTATTTTACAGATGAGGAAACTGGGACTCAGAGAGGAAGTAGCTTAAACTCAGCAGCTAGTAAGTGAGGGAGCAGGACTGGAAGACAGGAATTTTGATCAGAGAATCCTTCTTGTGTATATTCTACTGCCTCCTCTATTTGCTTCTTGTATGTGTGTCATCCTGAATTATAATTGATATCTGTCTGCCTTCTGTTGCTCAACTACAATCTCCCTGAGGGCTGAAACCTAGTCTCATTCCCTCCTATAAGCATAGGTGCTAAGCAACCCTCTAGGCCAGTGGTCGGCAAACTCATTAGTCAACAGAGCCAAATATCAACAGTACTTCTTCAAAATAGACTCGCCCAGGCCGAAAACCGACTTCTGCGCATGGGCCACAAAGTTTCAATCGCACTGTACGCGTGCCCGCAGGTGGTATTTTGTGGAAGAGCCACACTCAAGGGGCCAAAGAGCCACATGTGGCTCGCAAGCCGCAGTTTGCCGACCACGGCTCTAGGCCCAACCCTCCATTATTGACTGGCTGGATTCCATGACTTTGTACCATTGTGGTAATATGTGCTGACCTCACATTAGTGACTCTGCTTCAGAATTCGGAGGGGAGCAGAGCGTTTTAATTCAGAGGTTAGAGAAAGTGCAGATAACTGGGCCACAGTTAAACTTCTATTTTTTTCCATAAGACAAAAGGACTAAAAATATTTACATAATGGGCAAATTTTCAAAGTTCATTTACCTTTTTATTTTTGTGTATTTTGTGGAATGCCAACTTTATTTACATTTGACTGATGCCAATAAGTGAAAATTCACTGAACAATTAATAGGTTTAAAAGGTAAGATTAGCCACTGGGAAAGTAAAATTGTATTCTAGGTAATTATATTTCCCTCGCAAAGTTTTCAAAACAGTAAATATTCACAAATATCTTGCAGTGCCAATAAAATTTACTGGATTAACAACAGGATCAAATGAAAAGAATGGAGCATATGAAGATAATGGATATCTGCCAAAAGACTCAGGTAAATCAAAGTAATACTTACATTTGGTAAGATTTTGATTATTTCAAAATTCTGTCTTGGCCTCTGTATTGGTTATCATCACTGCCCATAATAATTAGATGAGCATTTGCTTAAAAATTAAATACTATAATCTTCACTGCCTTTAAGCTGAACATTCTCTTTAGGGATTGCTGCTTTCTTTTTTTGAAGTTTTATTTCTATTTATTTATTTATTTTTTATTTTATTTTATTTTCTTGTTTAAGGTATTACAGATAGTAGTACATATGTCTCTCTTTTTTTCCCACTGCCCTTCCCCGGGCCTCCTTACTCACTGCCCCTCCCCGCCGCTCGCACTTGCCCTCATCCCCTCGCCCTCAGTGTCTTTGCATCTGTTGGTTGTGCTTATACGCATGCATACAAGTCCTTCAGTTGATCTCTTACATCCCCTAACCCTCCCCTACATTCCTGCTGTAGTTTGACAGTCTATTCCATGCCTCTTTGCCTCTATTTTTGTTCAACAGTTTGTAATGTCTCTATTATCCATAAATGAGTGAGATCATGTGGTATTTATCTTTCACTGACTGGCTTATTTCACTTAGCATAATGCTCTCCAGATCCATCCATGCTATTGCGTTCCTTCTTTTTTACAGCAGCATAGTATTCCATCGTGTAGATGTACCACAGTTTTCTAATCCATTCATCTACTGATGGGCACTTAGGCTGTTTCCAAATCTTAGCTATTTTAAATTGTGCTTCTATGAACATAGGGGTGCATATATCCTTTCTGATTGGTGTTTCTGTTTCTTGGTATCTATTCCTAGAAGTGGTATTACTGGGTCAAATGGCAGTTCCATTTTTAATTTTTTGAAGAAACGCCATACTTTTTTCCACAGTGGCTACACCAGTTTGCGTTCCCACCAGCAGTGAAGAAGGGTTCCTTTTTCTCAGCATCCTCTCCAGCACTTGTCATTTGTTGATTTGTTGATGATAGCCGTTCTGACAAGCATGAGATGGTACCTCATTGTTTTGATTTGCATCTCAGATGATTAGTGACTTTGAGCATGTTTTCATATGTCTCTTTGCTTTCTGAATGTCCTCTTTCAAAAAGTGTCTATTTAGGTCCTTTGCCCATTTTTTGATTGGATTGTTTATCTTCCTTTTGTTAAGTTGTATGAGTTCCTTGTAAATGTTGGAGATTAAACCCTTATCAGAGATAACATTGGCAAATATGTTCTCCCATGCAGTGGGCTTTCTTGTTGTTTTGTTGATGGTTTCTATTTTTTTCTTTTTTTGTGGTGGTACACACAAAATTCTAGTTCCTAACGAGATCATAGGAAGATAGCTGCATGAGTTTTATTGCAATTTACATGTTTTGGTGGTAGAGATTATAAATTCAGACATAGATGATTTGCAAGTGTACAGCTTTCTTTAAAGTCATTTGTCTTTTGTTTTCTTTTGCATTTTTTTAATTAAATACTAGTGGAAATTCTGTTTATTTCCAAAGACAGGAATCAACACCTGACAATCTGAAAAGTCAGTAAGTGGATATTTGTTAAGCATATTGTGGTATGCACAAAAGTTTACCCCCACAATCTTTTGATGCATGGGCCAACACTCCAAGCGAGCCATACCAGCCAGGGCCACTCTTCTTTTTTTCCTAACATTTTATTATGAAAAATTTCAAATATACGTGAAAATTGAAAAAAAATGTGCATTAAGCACACCTATCATCTAACATTAAACATTTTACTATACAGTGGGGCCTTGACTTACGAGTTTAATTTGTTCTGCGACCGAGCTCGTTAAGGAGCTCGTTAACTCAAATTACTCTATCAACTCAATGCAAAAAATCTGCCGAGAGACAGCTGGTATCTCAAAAAACTCGTTAGTCGGGACACTAGTAAGTCAAGGCCCCACTGTACTTACTTTCCACAGCCCATGCAGTTTTTATCATGCCATTCTTCCTTTCTATAGGTGGTATGAATGTCGGGGCATTTTTCAGCTCTAGTAGGCTGAGCTACCTCATCCTGTACCATGAAGGGACAGAAAGTGACATCAAATTGTCAGATGTATGGAGTGAATGAGTAATATAATTATATCACCTATTGCACTTTTTAAATTTATACTAACAATAATTTCTGGTTGTTTTGTTTTGTTTTGTTTTGTTTTTATCCAGGTATAATGAAATATGAGAATGCTATCTGAGAGATGGAAACCAAGAGAGAGGAAGATATAGCACATGTTTTAACTAAAAAAAATATCAAATTGAATCTAGGAAATGTAGAATTATAAAATTCACTCCCAAATTGCCCTGTAATCCATGTTCATACTGCACCTTGAGATAATAAATGCATCATTTAATCAGAAAAGTATGGCCACTCTTTTTTCAACCAAATAGATTGCACATGTCTTACTGACTCAGGAATTCACATTCTCTACAATGCAGGTGAGAGGTGCTTTGAATAGGGCCAAGAAGCAGATGAAATAAAGAAGCTAGGCATTCAGCAGGAATTTAATTTCTATTTGTTTATACAGAGTGTGCAAACTAGTCTCAGCTCCTTTTTATTTATTTAAAACTAGAGGCCCAGTACATCAATTCATGCACATTGAAAGGAAATTAATTAGAAGAAATATTTTAATATCATTATTCACCCTTTCTCTATAATAGAAGTGTCATTGCAAGGAGGCTAGTAGCTAGGGAGAGGAAGCCGGGCGTTGCTACATGATGTCATTACCCGGCACCCACAGCCACCATTTCCAGGCTGGGCTGGGCTATGGGCCGCATTTTGTTCCATGGGGTCTCGGCAGTATTGGCTGCAATTTGGTGGGGTGTCACTCTGGGGAGGTGGCAGGGCCTGTGTCCCACTTGGGGGAAGCCAAGTGTTGCTTTGTGGGCGCCGGGTCCACAGTCCCATTTCTCTGTAAATGGCCAGTGTGCATCACTTCAGCTCCTGCATTGAACGTCTGCTCCCTGGTGGTCA